AGTTTTAGCAGCAAACAACTTTCTGTCACATTTTATTACTCTGTATCATTTTTACTAATACCTGTCTTATAGCTTCATGACTTTGAGTTCATTTTATTTTCATGCTTCAATTAGAAAGAAGTAGATAGCCAGACTATCCAGGAAGGTAATGGAAAAGTCTTGTAGGGGGGCTTAGTGGTGGAATTTATAGTTAAATGAAACTTTCAAATATACTATAAAACTTCTCCTTCCTTTACATGGTTTTATGTGAGATCTCATAAGCAGTAATATGTAGAAATGCAAAACTTAAATCAGCTAAAAAATACAGCAAATCCCACATATCACTTTATGCAATGCCAGGAGAGTAGAAATATATTTTCCTAACCAGAGGAAATTAACTAGGCAACACTCCTATATCTATAATTTAAGGCAGTAAAATATGTATGGCAGAAACTAAAGCCACCTTAAAAGAATTCAGTGGAGCAGTGTATCACAAATTTATGAAATGGAGACATTTTTAGAGCATGCAGCACTGACGATATTAAAGGGGGGGGGAGAGAATATTTCACCACATAGATCGGTCTGATAAATACTTTTAAAATCAATCTTTTTTCCCTGTTTGAAAGTGTAAGAGCTTGACTATTAGGGGGAAGCACACACAAATTCATTAACATTTCTGATCAAATCTTAGTGCTGCTCCACAGAGATTAGGAATATCTTACTCCGTCCCTGCATGTAAACCTCTAATGTGGTCAGAGGAAAATCTGAGTAAATCAAAAGGCAGGAATTATGGAGTCAGCTCTTACTTTATTTCACCTAAAACAGAGCTGAAAGAAACTCAAAATACTTTATATTCCATGCTGTAGCCAAGCTGGGCACTATGGAATATTCAACTACCCCAGGTTTTTTAAATGCAATCAATTTACTGCTGCCAAATGTAGTACGTTTATATACATCTGGGAAACATGCACCTACGGTGCTGATGAATTTCTCCTAACATTGCACTGATTTCAAGAGAATGTTATTTTAAATTGGCAGTAGAGAGACCGGTAGAGAAGGATAAAGCCCTGAGGACGGCTGAATCAAAGAGAATTTCAAAAGAATTTTCCTGATGGTTCTTGGATAATATCACATGTTAGCTATTTTCAAAGCCAATAGTTTCCAACACACTTCCATTTATGGTATCAATAATTAAAAAATACTTCAGTGGGAGATGAACTTACCTTACTGAGAAGAGAAATTGGAAAGCTGCATTATTATTGTAAACACAGGAGATGCAAAAAGCTTTGTCTCCATGGAAAAGCTATGGAAACAGGGATATCTTATTTGCAACTATTGAGTGGTTACCACAAAATGTGATGTGATTGTATGGTGCATGTTCAAAGCATTACTAGAACTTGATCATGTAGAAATTAAGGGCAGATCCTCAGCTCCTTTGTGCAGCCAGGCCAAATTAAACCACCTGAAGATTTGGTTCTAAAACCCAAAGTCAACTAGAGGAAGTGTTAAGGAAATGTTTTGGATCAAATTCAGAGGTAAAACTAAGTTTAAAGAAAATTTAAATTACCAAAACTTAAACCTCATTATGTCCCACTCCCTGCCAACACGTCCCTGCCAGCTACTAATGAATTTTTAACATCTTTCCCCCGCCCCACTGCGCACATCAGCTCCGACTCCGGCACCCTGAACCGTACAGCGCGTTACAGTCTAATTGTAACTCACATGTCAAGGGGCAAGAAGAAAGGAGTGTGGCGAGAGCATTGATAAATTTAACTTAACATTCCTCCAGCTACTCAGCAGTAAGGCAGAGCAGTGAACTCCTCTCCACATTTTACATGGGTGTCGGTTACTTCAAAGGAATATATTTGAGCATGAGGGAGTCTGGCTCGCTCCCAGCTTATGCATCATTTGTGTCTGGCTGTTTCTGGAGACCCACAGCAAAGCAAAGACTTCCTCCAGTTTGGGGCACATTGTGGAGCTTTCCATAGCTGTTTTCTTAGGGGTGCTGTATGTTGCATACAGAATCTGTAGCTGGAGCTGCAGCTCTCACCCTCTGCTTTTCTTCCTTCTCCTTTTTATTTTTTCTTCCCCATTTTTTTCCAGAGTGCCCTCAGTCCAGGTTACATATTAATGAGCTATACCTGTTCAATTTAACATACAAATGTGCTTTTAAGTCAAGCATCTGGAGTAAGGCAAGAGGCAGCAGCGGGTCGCCCTCACAGCGTGGGCTCAGCACAGCGTGGGCAGGGTGGGGATTCAGGGCATGAGGAATAAGCACTGCTTCCTACCCATCCGTGATTCCTGGGGAATCGTGCAACAACCACGGCCAGGGGAAATAGCGCGACTGCACGAGGTAACGTTAAGGTTTCTGTGATCCCACAAACTCTCTTTTGAATGTTTTGGCACTTGTGTCTCAACAGCTCTTTATTGACGTTAATGGCATTATTTTACCTTGCAATTAATCTCATTAATTGGCTGATCAATTTTTGGAAATTTTTTTAGTGGCACAGGGAGAAGAGCTGTTGTAATACTTGCAAGGGATCACCAAGCTATTCTTGACTAAACGTACAAAAACTGGTCTGAGAATTTCACACACACACAAAAGAAAGATGGTATTTGTCATGACAAAAGTGCAAATCACAGAGGTGACCTCTGGTTTTGAAGTCCTTTGTCTGTTCTTACAATTAAGCAATAAGGCTTTGGTGGCTGATACCGCTTGTGAGACATGGAGGACTTTCATACTATAAATAAGGCTGAGTGACCTCCACCACAAATGAAGGCTGCCTGCCTGCGACAAGGTGGAGAACAGGAACAACTCCCAAAGGATTAACAGCTGCAAATAAATAGCCCAGTCCCTAATTTGAATCAGTAAATTAAGGGATGACAGTGATTATGGCTGATCTTAGCCAACATAAACAATATCATGACTTTGTAAAAGCAGGTGGTTGTTGTCAGATCTTAGAGCTAGGACCCACAGAATGAAATATTTAAAAGTTGCAGTCTCCGAAGATAGATAAAAGCCTCAAGACTATGATTTTTTTTTTTTTTTTTTTGGTATTTGTAAGGCCCAAACTAGACCCTTTAATCCACAGGTTGATGTTTTCCAATCCTACTAGGAATTAAGTGCCTAACTCTTTCAGCCTCTTTGAAAAATCTCAGCTTTAGGCTCTCAAGTAAGTTTGGCCTGATCCAGCAACAGGCTTCTTTTCAAAATGCCTTTACTGAAAGCAGAACAGTAATCACTCAGTTATATAACCATGGCACAAATATTATTTTTTTTCCCCTATGTAGCCAATTATCATAGATTTCTGGCTAAATGTCAAAGGGTAAAACTTGCATTTCAGAAAAAATGCATGTTATGGAAAGCTTTTTTCCCCCCTTTTAGTGCAGTATGTCTACCTGTGCAGTTATTGAAAGCTGGTTTAGTATTTAGCTATTTTGATCCTTCCAACTAATTGCTGTGTTGATTTAGTAGATTGCTGTATTAAACTGAGAGATCTGAAGCGATAGCTACTTACTGTGATCACATCTATGCATAAACTCAACTTAGTCAACCCTTTCATTGTTCCAGTGAATACTGTATCTGAAATTATGAGGAAGGTATCATAAATTGGTTTTACAGAAAAGTCTCATATTAAGTTATTCTGGTCCCCAAGCCTCCTTTTCTCTTATTAAAAAAAAGTATGTGGACTTTGGTGCCCTTATCCAAGATCTGAGTGTTTATTATGATTAAGACCTTCAGAGATATTTTTCTTTTTCCTCTAGAAATAGGGAATGCTGAAGATACGAAAAATGAAAAATGTGCCATGTTTGTCCTTGAAGTTACAGTCAGAATAGTGACAATGGCTGTATCACACTGTATTGTTGCTTTTATCAGCAAGTGCCCCGAGCATACATTAACATAATTGCAAACTGCATGAAAAGTGAACATGCAAAAATGTGATGCAATTGCCAATAGCCTCAAACATCTGTCCCAACAAAGTGTTCCTCCTCCTTATTTTAATTCTTATTATTTTAACAAGGTTAGTGAAGGAGAAACCATGTCACAGATGATATCTACATTTAGAGTGTCAGAACAATTATTGATGCAAAATTGTTATCCAAGCAAATGTGTGTCACATTTTGTTCACTTCCCATAACACCTGTTCATTTCGCTAACACATTATTCCCAGTTAAAGCCAGAACTCATTAGTCCCAGTTAAAGCCAAACTGAAAGCTTAATACGTACATACATCTGAAAAATTGAAAAAGTTAACCAAAAGGTAGCACCGTTCAAGCACGGTGTACATCTGAAGCTGGTGGGCAGCAAACTTCTGTAGCAGCTAACGGAAAGAAACTGAGCCAGAAAAATAGCAATAAATTAAAAGCCACCCAGCCTTAAGAGCTGAGATCAAAGAGAAGCACTATCCAAACGACCTGCATTTCAATCACGGTGCTGAGACCTTCAAAATTCACTATGCCAAAGAGCCCAACACTTTCCCCGTGTAACACGTTTTGGTTTATCTCCTCAATAGGCAAATGACAAAAGCCGTTATGAAGCAGATCATTTAGAGCATTTTAATTTTAGCTAAATATTTTCTGACCTATTTTGCGGTTCTCCAGACCTAAGCCTGGACCTCCTGTCTCCCACCACGCACACAGAGGGCCACTGTCTCCTTTCTCCCTGAACTGCTCACGTTTGCCACCAAGGAAAGTCCAACTTGCATTTCTGTGATACTTGAACACACATTGTGAATTCGAGGGCATCTGCCCTGCAGACATACCGCTAACTGTAACCCCAGGAGGCTTAAAGAAATATCAGCACTCAAATTCATAGAGTAAAGGTCTGAAGAGGCAGCTCTGTGAACGGATAACTGCCCGGGGCTTTGCCAAGCACAATATAGCTGTCACTTGTTATTACGTGAAAGATTTTCTGGGGAACAGTGTTTTTCATTTTGCATGTCGGAGACAGGGGAAAAAACACATTTAGACAACCATCTCTTTAAGAAAAAGGAGAGAGCCATGCAGCAGAGCTCACTTACCAGGGCTGGTTATTGTCAGGAGGTCAAGCTGCCGTTTCTGCTGAAAAACAAATTATAAAAGAAATTGTTAAAAGGGGACTAATTTTAGTGGGTCAGCTTAGACCTGCAAAGTAAGTGTTCTGACATTTATAGCAGAATTAATTACAAGTTACATGGCTCACAGTAACTCTTTTGGATGGGATCCACATGTACTTTATGAGGAAGAAAAAAACCCCCTTGCTCAGTCCTTTTAATGTGTTTTTATTTGCACTTATAAAGTGTTACTATTTCTTTTTTGGAACATATACTTGAAATGGATAGCTAGAAGCACAGATGGACCGATATATTTATAAAAGTGATTTCTGATTCCACAGGGAAGAAGACAAGGAACCAAGACAAGAAATTCTAAGTCCTTTATTCATATCAGTCATTGACTCATAGCCTGTATGTGATCAAACACAACTATATCGCCTTGGGGTGAACCTTTCAAAGACGTGTAAGAGGATCTAGACAAACTCAAGACTGATAAAAGGAAAGCTTCTTTTCATGCTGAGCGCAGTCAGCCCATGGATCTCATTGCCACCAGATATCCCTCACCCCAAAAGCTTGCCAGACTTGATCATCGCTGGGTATTTGTACAGATAGCAAAATACAGGCAGTTGTAATGGCAAATAATTAAATTTAAACGGAAGAGTGGTTTCTGGAAGGGCTGCAAACCTTCACAGGGTAAACCAATCTGTACTAGAAGAAGGTTAGGAATTTTTTTTTGCCTGGAACAAGCTATCCCACCAATGGCTTGATGATGGTGGGGTGCATCCAAAGTTCCCTTTCCCCTGTAACATGTAGCCAAGGCTGTTGCCTAGTCCATGTTCCCAGCCTTAGGTGGCCTCCCCACCATTGCCTCCCTGTGGCCTGCTACTGAAATTCTTGTGCTCCTGGACTATTATCATCCTTTTCAACCTTTCTGTGAGCTGAGAGCTTTCCATCACCAGCAGGGCTTTCCCCATCTCACAAACAGACTGTTCCTGCCTCTTCTCCATAGCACTTCCTAACTTACTGTCTTCTCCCTAACTTTGCCCAACATTAGTGTGTCTAGCTGGCATTGATGATTATACTGTCAAGTTTAATTTCTCTCTCCTAATCTGCTCAACAATGTCTGTGTTACTTTCATTTATTGTCAGCCCTATTGATCTTTTTCTAATCTAATTCTCATCACTGCATTCACTGTATTCCCTGGGTGACAGCTAAAAGTCCTTGAGGAGGAAACATTGACTTGGTATTCCCTACCGTGAACG